GGGGGGGATTCCTTTCTTTTTTTTCTTCTTGTTGTTGTTGTATAGGCTGTTAGGATAGATTGGCTTTTCCTCGACTTTCAAGAGCCGAGACGAGTGGTTGGAGGGCGCTACCGTTTGGTCCTACTTCTTGTTGATTTTTTCCTCCGTTGTTTCTGTCTATTTGTCTTGCTTCTTCAGTTTATCAATGCTTGGAGATATCGAACCCATACAATCACCAATAATGAGGGTTGTTAATCCAATACTTTCACCACTTGTGGCATATTTAACACATACAGTCACCAATAATTAGGGTTGTCAAACGCATAAAACCTCCAAAAATGAGGATTGTTAAACCCTTAGCCCTACAATCACCAATATGCTCACCATTCATGGGGTTTGTTCAACATAATATGCAATCACCAAGATTGTTAAACCCATACAATTACTCAATACGTGGGGCTTGATAAACATACAGACTTCAACATAAGTTAGGGACCACCTTGACAGACAGCCATGATTTGTAAAAAAATCCGAAAAAAGACGGCAAGGAATGTTTGAAAATTTTTTGCTCAGAAAGTGTTAATGGGTTAATAGTGCATACTGCAAAGCTTCCTAAAGGGGCAATACCCCTACGTGCAGCACGGAAATCCTCGGGGAATTTTAGCCAAATTTGCTGTTTTTTATCGACTTGTGTGAGACACCATGGACATTCCATAGAGTTAAAATTGTTGGTGCAGGTCATAAACGGACGTATGGTCTCGAACTGTGCTCACTTTGGTGGCAATACAAGCCACCGTTTGAGCAAAATCCAGTATCGCATCAACATGCCACTAAGACGAAAGCTGAGAGACTTTGATAGTGCCAGAGCTATGGCATGGCTGCAGGATGGAACTGGAGCCCGAGAAGTTGCCAGAAGGCATGCAGTGTCGTGCTCTGTCATTGTTCGCTTGAGGCAGCGCCATCAAGCTACTGGATAGGTCCAAGAATGCCCACGTGCAGGTCGACCCAAGAAGACCACTCAGAGTGTTTGCAAGTGGTTCCTTAACCTATGTTGAAGTCTGTATCATTATACTATCACAGGGGGTTTTAAAACTACCCATACAATCACCAGTTATGAGGGTTGGCGTTTTTCGCTTATATTCTTTTTTTAAGTAGGGCCTAAAGGTTTTATGGCGCCCGCAAGTGCATAATGAGCCTACAGGACACACCAAACATTTTAAGTTGGAAGGAAATTTTGAATTTTGCCCGGGTGGCGGTCGAAGCTTACTCTTATCGGTTTCGGACCACCAAGGGATCTTCAACGTGCGCAAATTTGCACACGGGACCTCCGAGATTTTACGCCTTTGTCCGAGAAGGCTATAAGTGTAGATCTTATCTACCATAACATCAGGGGTGTGGATGAAAGACATCAGTAAGAAGGAGCCAAGGAGAATGAGTAGAAAGGCTTCAAAAAGTTAGGAGCCCAGAGGAGGGGACAAAGGAGGTGAAAGAGTGGGGGCAGACAACGGAGACGAAAGCAGACGACAGAACATTGTTAGAGGGTAGGAAAGGGTGTGAAAGGAGAAAATTTTGTAGAAGAAAAGTTTCGCTATCCGGATACGAATCCGGGACTTATTGATTGAGGGGCGAACACTTTAACCTCTTGGTCACGAAATCCCCTATGAGGGTTGTTAACCACAAACGATAGTTAACCACAAGGGTCGAGGTTGTTGTTTTTTTAATCTGAAAGGGAAAAGATCAAGTTATCTATCTACACCGCACAGAAACAGAGCTAAACCTAACGCCGTAGCATGAGAGTTGTAAGTGTTTTTACGTCCCCAATGATACAATTTAGATCTTTTATGAGGTAGCCTAGGCTTCTTCATTGCCTGTCAAGATCAAACTGGACTGAGAGGGATATATTATATATGCTGAAAGACCGATCGGGATACATAACGTTCCTGATGATAATCCACCAAACTCGTAAATCGAACTCGGGTTTTCTGTATTTTGTGCGACAGCGAAATGCCTTACCACTTCACCACAGACGCAGGTATCATTAGACACGGTCACCTGACCGGATAGGAAAAATAGCCGACAAGACTGTTTAATGTAATACAAAGACACGTTGTACGCCTATCAATGTCTGATGACGATCAATGTATCAACAGAGAAAAATACATGGGTATAGTCAAAATTGTCCAAGATGGCCACCTGTTGTCGAGTAGAAACATAATGTGGGCTTCTTGAACGGTGCTATTAAAAATTATTTTTGTTTGAATAACAAATTAATGGGGAAAAACCCGCAAGGGACAGAGGGAAGCGGCCCTTTATACAAAAGACTGTCTTCGACCTGTATTTCTCAAAAAGAAATTGATGAAATTAGGATTAAGATGGTATGTGGCTTCTGCTATGGGCTAACCGATAAAGACCAATTCTGTTTGAGAAGAGTTTTTGGCATTTTGAGCTTTTAAAAGCTTCATTTCCACTTTTGGATGTGTGCAGTGTGCAGCACTTATTATTTCACGCCAAGTAGTTTCTAAAATATTTCGCGTTCAAACGGCTATTATAGGACGATATATCTGCTGACGTCTGTGGTGTAGATAAAATAAATAATAATAAATAGCATTTGTATAGCGCATATCCCCGCTTAACAACAGGCTCTATGCGCTTTACACTATATTATTACCCCAGAAGACCATAGAACACTTCGAAATACTCTCAGCTTCCCTGGAAGCATACAGTGCAAGCAGCTGATTAAGCGCTCAAACACTAACATACTGATAAGATCATTCGCTGTCTATAGCCAGGTACCCATTTCCCCCCTGAGGGAAGTGAGGAAAATTCGTGTAAAGTGCCTTTCCCAAGGACACAACGTCGGGTCCCTGGCGGGATTCGAACCCACTACCTTACGGTTGCGAGTCCGAGAGCCTAACCACTAGGCCACCGACGTCAATAATCTAATAGTTAAGCTCTACACCAGTTTGTGTAGACGAAACAGAAAAATTATGCAAACGTTCTTGTCCGCCTCAATATAATAATAATAATAATAATAATAATAATAATAATAATAAATTGCTTCCATTATAAGATAAGATAAGATAAGATACATCTTTATTGTCCAGATCCTGGCACATTGGTTTGGTGTTCCACCACGAGTGCACACACGCACACACACACACACACACACACACACACACACACACACACACACACACACACACACACACACACACACACACACACACACACACACATACACATACACATACACACACACGTACACACGTGCACACACATGCACACACAAGTAGGCTTAGATTACCTGTACTCTGTACTCACAATAACTGATAGCCCAGTCTCGTCAGAAAGTAGTAGGCCTACCACGTACCATCTACCGAGGCATGCCAAAGTGACGACCAACTCTCGCCACAAGGGGACCTTTCCAACCCCCCCCCCCCCCCCCCCCCCTCCATCTTGCAAAAGCATGCGCCAATAAACATAACTTTATAATATAAACATAAAACAAACATAAACGCAGGAACGGTTCTTTCTCTGGACAAGACCGGCGCGTCCCCGGTCACTTTTTGTTGGCTCGATAGTGGACAAGAGATTAACTGCTGATCACACTCTTCAATCAGTTTCACGTAAAAATCTAAACTAATAATATAATTTGTATCAACGTTTAAAAAGATCTTTGTCGATATGAAGGGGCTCACAGAAACAAATTAATAGGGGTTCACTGATGTGTTGTCGCACAACGGAGACTCGTTCCTTCATCTTTGTTTATCACGCTGGAATATAATGTGAATTGCCCCAAAGAGAGACTCGTTCGGACAACCTTTCTTTCACAATCCCAATATACCAGAATACGGCTTTTCCGTCACGAAATAAAACATAATAGATCTATACACTTCAGTTCAACGGAGGAAAAAATACCTTTCAACTACTCTAAACGGCTGCTTTTATCGAACTCAAAGTGGTGCTTACATTATTGTTATTTTTTTTAAAATTTTACGCACAGTAAAAGCCCCGTTTACCTTGTGTCAAATGTGGCCCCTTTTCTCTAGAGTAAGCAGATAATATGTTCGTTACCCTGAGTTTTTATATTCTCACGAGTAACTTACGGTAACTATAATTTCCTACACAACGCTAAAAAAAGATTGGAGTGGGCGTTTGGCAGGTGCTCTGGAGTGGTTTGCTCTTTCTTTCCTATCAAACGTCTACTGAATTGCTATCATCTCAACTCCTTCTTTTTTTTGCGTTTGTAGCTTTCTTGTAACACCTCTAATCTTCAACACTTATATGACTTTGTTGTGTTGCAAAGGTCTCAAAACTCTTACTAAAAACTGTCCAAATTTAAAAACGAAAAACAAAATTAGACAAAAACCTTTAAGTTGATTTTGAAAGGAAAGCCGTTAATGTTGAAGATTTCGTCCCATCTTGTCTTTGTACACAATAAAACTTGATCTGACAGCTTGGTCCCACTTTGAAAATTTAAGAGACCTAGAGACTGACCGGTCCCAGAACTCAAATTCAAACTGTGCCACAGAAGCTTTTGAACACTGTGTTGTTGTTTTTTCTTCTGTTGCGATATCGGGGTGGCTGTGTATTCCTTTCAATGAGGGCCTTCTACCTCCTTTTCCACTTTATGAGTGGGCCTATGACTCCTTATGCGCGACGCGATGTGGCGTCGGGCGCAATCCTTGCCGCTCCAAAATCTATCAAGTAAGATTATTAAGAACGTATTACATACGACGTGACGTCTATATTAGCCAAACGCGACCGTCGCCTTCGATCGGTTCATGTAGCGACCGAGACCTCGTCGCACGCGGCAGACTGGGGTGTGCGCAAGAGTTAATTCTATGGATGTGTGACAGATTTAAAGCATCACCATAATTAATTGTCAAAATACATAGCCAAGGAGTGTCAGTCGACACGCCCTGCGTGTAGTGTGTAATGTTGTCGCGCAAAAGGATACACATGACACACCTCACGTCTCATCGCTAGCGACTGCCGAGTGCGACGCGACGTTGCGTCGCGCATAAGGAGACATAATATGCTAAATCTGTTCACACTGTTTTTCTCAAAAGAAGAACTTCGGCGGTTTCGAATAACACACGCACGTTGATTGTCATCTTAATAATATTATAGTCTGTACAAAATATAAAGCTGCAAGGACATAGAATAAGAACTTTTCAAATTTTCCAGTCAAACCCCGTAATACCGCCATTTTGTGGCGATAATGAAGTTTATGTAATAACGGGCTGGCATTTTCAATGGGTTATGTTGCTCCGACTGTCCAACGTCAAGGGAAATGATTTTGTTTTGTTATCTTAGTTTGAAAAGTGCCTAGTTGGCGATTTACGTATACATGTACATGTATGTATTTAAAGCGGAGTCTCTCTCTCTCTCTCTCTCTCTCTCTCTCTCTCTCTCTCTCTCTCTCTCTCTCTCTCTCTCTCTCTCTCTCTCTCTCTCTCTGTTTGTGTGTGCGTGCATGCGTGCATGCGTGCGCGTGCGTGTGCAAGTTTAAACCCAGTTGAACTTTCCCACGTAAATTCAAAGTGAACATTTACAGCAGACTGGAGGATTAGAATCTTGGAAGTGGCAACGCCATTCTAGGCTGTAGATGAAAGTGTTGTCCTTATTTTAAAGCCGGCGCCCATCAATCCTTTGGCTGCCTCAGATCGTCATAGACTTGAGCCCGAGTCCTCGAAAAATAGAAGCTTATCCAGCGGCGCCTGTCACTCTAGAGGTAATTTGGCTGATTATCTTGCAATTCCAGATATTTTCCCGACGGGACGAGGTAACATGTGAGAGAGATTACCCAGCAGTCAACACGACACCTTGTATAGTGTGTTCTTCTAGCGGCAAGTTCGCTGGCGGTATGGCGGGGCAAATTTATATTAGTTTCATAAGAACTGTACAACTCAGGCAGTTGACGGACGGTGGTGTACAGGCGCAAATACTGTGTTTGTAATTGTGTTCCTTTTCGTACATTGGCAGCACACGACAGTAAACGGGGCAAGCGATATAATATAATGAGGGCGGTAATTACGAGACTTGAGTGTACATGTATTTATTAAATTAAAATAATATCTACATGGAAATCAAACGGAAAGTGTTTTTTCGGCCTCCACAAGGTTGCAGCATTATTAGGCTATTGAATTGCATTGCATGCTTCGAAAAGCCAAAAGCCCCCACCACACCCACCCCGCATGAATTCATTGTCGATTCATGTGGCTGCCTTTGTCTCCTCCAAATTGCAATATTGTGAACATTTCAGCTACCATCTTTCAGTAGCCCCCTTTAATTTCTTTCCTTTCCCTTAAATTTTCAACACACTCTAAATAAGAAACTATAACATTTCTCTTACCACTTTTTTCACTATCAATGGGAATTGTAATAGATAAATTATGTTGACATAAAGGAAACATGCCTACCGCTATACTACATAATATATACATAGGCTATTACAATAATATAGATCTAGTAGATATGTTATTTCATATATATATTTGAATTCAGTTGTAGAATCTAGATCTAGTTTTTTGTTATATTGAAAAAACAACAACAACCCAACTCTACATAGATGTAGTAGGCCTAAAGAGTAATATTAATATGATGATTTCAGAATCCTATTCTGTAGGCCAAGGGAGCTATATTATATATACGAGTTAGAGAGTGGGTATTTAGTCTCACTCCAAAATGAAGGTTGACTTCTTTTCTGTGTGAATTTGAAACCAAAGAAGCCATGCTTGGAGAAAAAAAAATGAAAAAAAGAAGATGAAAACAAAATAGACAAAGAAAAGAAGAAAAGAAGAGAAAAGAAAGGAAAAGGGTAAGACAACCCTGTCAAGCAGACGATATTTATAGACACGAACGGAAGTTGGTATTTTGTGCGTGCGCATTCATCATCTGTGAGTAGAGAATCCATTCTAGATGAACATTGTCCACCTTTGTGACTTCTTTGACATTTACATACTCGAAAACGACCGGTTAGGAAACACATTTTATGACTTTTCCTCTTGCACAGATTTGATTTTGTGTATTGGATGCCTGACACTCAATTCCTTTCAGTTTGAGGTCAATATGTCGACCCGTTAGTGGGTGAAAACAACGAGGGGAAATCTGTGTTTTCTCTTCACAAAATTGACGAAAGGCTCTGTAAACAGACCCAACTATAATGTTGTCTCCAGACAAGATATCTTGGTTTGACCCTAATAGGGAGTTATGAAATGAAACAAATAAATCATTATGGATTTTTGTGTGTCTGTGACTAGGTTTCAACATAGCGTATTCAGAAACTTGTCAGGAATCCAATAGATCTTCTAGAGCCTCATGATGAAGGATCAGCTTTTTTTGGTCATGATGATGTAAATCTAGATTTTAGTCCTTCACTCCCAGTGCCAGTGAAGTTCTTGATCAAGGGTCAGATGTAAAGTTCTTTTAAAACCTAATATGATCTTGGTCTAGTAGGATCTGAACTTGCCTTTGACTAGGTTGGGCTTGTAGTTTTGATTCTGGATCTGGGTTCAGGTTTGGACTGGTCTTCTGTCTTGTTCTGTCTTTATACTTCGACTTCGATCTAGAATCTCATTCTAGTTGAAGATCCTGGTTTAGATGCTAATTCTCATGGGTTTGCTTCAGTTTGGACTGGCTTGGTCTCTGTAGGTTTTGTTTTAATAAGATTTGAATTAGATATCTATAGATCTAGATTAGGTCTAGAATCTAGATGGAATTTTTTGTATTTTATTACGAGTCCGAATATGAAAAAATGTTATTCGGACTCTGGTTCTTGTCCAGCATGACATCACTTCCGACTTCCTGTGACTCGTGACTCAGGCTTCCTGTCCTGCCTCACTCGTGACTCGCCTCAGGCTGGGTAGAGACCGGGATCACTTCGGGCAAAAAGGCGTTTTGTGCAGGAGCCAAGTTTTTATCTTATGATGAATTTGAGGCCAGCCTGAAAAGTTATAGCGCTTCTAATAAATGTTTATTTGTCAAGAGGTCATCAGAAGCAATTAAAGATGGCTTGTTAGCGTGTGTCGAGGTCGGATGGGCGGCCTGCACACGTGTGGCTGTGTGCGTGTCGGGGAGGGGGGGGGAGGCACTATCGGTCCGGGCGTTGAACGTCGCATACGCGTCAGTCTTTCCCCCCTCCCCCCTCCCCGGCAACTGATCATTATTACAATAATAAGCTAGTCTTGACGTAGATCTACGCAATGAATTTATTGAATTGTGCGGTGGTCAATGGAATCAAAAGTTGCCGTATGCTCAGCTCTACACACAGCAACACAACTTTTTCATGGTAAACAATGGAGATGACACCGGCTTGTGTATTTGAACGAATCGGTCTTTTTTTTTTTTACACAGCTCATAATATGCAGGTGCCAGGTGGTCTGCTAATCTTCAATTTTACCTTTTTCTACAACAAAGAAAGAGGGAAACGTGGGGGGGGGTTGGGGGCGTATCAATGAGGCGGCAGGCATCGGATCGGCAGAATTGGAAGCCCTGAACATTAGATAGATATAGAACGAAGACACTTCCTTTTTTCCGGACCCGAGTCCGAATAACATTTTTTCATATTCAGACTCGAGTCCGAATAAGAATTTTTTTTATTCGGACTCGAGTCCGAATATGAAAAAATGTTATTCGGACTCGAGTTCGAATAATGACGGCCATTTTTATTATTGTTCAAGTTAAATTTTGATATATCTGAATCATACCATGCCATTGTATAACAGCAGATTATATTTTATTTTTAGATCTATTTACGCTTTGCAAGCAAGGACTTTGGTATTCGATCCTGAATGGTCAGCATGTTTTACAATTGCAATTTTGAGTTCAAACTGGTAGTGTACAGATGATTGTAAGTATACCACTACTAATGGAACACTGTCATAATGCGGGACAGAGTTTAGCTGCTCAAAAGTAGGTGCATGAATAGTGTAGATTAGATGGAATAGTTACGTCAAGGAACTTCTCTGTCACTTTCTTGAGGAACTTCTGTTATTTGTGGCAATACTCTTGAAACTAAAAGGACAGCTTTGGGCAATTCTTCAGATCTGCATGGTTTATTCACATTTGCTACGTTTGGGTTGGAAGGTTAGGGTTAGAGGCTAGAATTAGGGTTACAGTAACCCTACCTTTAAGGTATCCAGCAAATGTGAATAAAATGGGCTGATCTGGAAGACTGCTCTGTGATTGAACTACTTGGTACTATATTTTTATCATGGCAGTGACTACGTTCTTGGCGCCGTGAATGTGGTTTGCAGGCTACATTCACGGCACCCTGAATCATCCATTATTAGCACAGAGAGGCACGAATGAAACGCTACGGTTGCTCAAACTCAAAGTGAATGTGGAAACAGCACAGGAATACGTGTGTGAAAAATAATGCAGCAATGGTCCGAATGCAACAGAAAATATCGAGGGCGAAGGCGAGCGCAGCAAAACAGCCTTGGTCGACAAGGCCTTGCTTGCTCAGCAGGCGGAACCTGACTTCTATCCACTTCCCTCGTGCAGACCCGGCAATGCTCGACAGTTTGAAAATAGAAAGTCGTCTGAAGAAACAAGGGGGAGATTGGAAGAAGGCGAAGGCGGGAAGAGTGGTGGGGGGGGGGGGGGGGGTGAAAAAAAGAAGCAAAAGAGTAGGGGGTGAAGTGAAATACGGCTCAAGTGGTTTGAAAATAGAAAGTCGTCTGAAGAAACAAGGGGGAGATTGGAAGAAGGCGAAGGCGGGAAGAGTGGTGGGGGAGGTATGAAAAAAAGAAGCAAAAGAGTAGGGGGTGAAGTGAAATAAATACGGCTCAAGTGGCTCGCTGCGCTATCTATTCCAATCCAGTAATGAAAAGACCCAAAATTCTCGGCCGATCCACGTTTTCAAAATAATAGAATAGACTTCCTGTTAGCAGATACGAAAGAAAATATAGCACTGAGAGACAATTTGTAGTTATTTCAGCGCTTTTTTTGTCCTCTTCGAAATGAAAATGAGAAGAAAGGCGCTTCCCTGACTTCAGTATATATATGTCTCATATTTTCACTTCTATATATATTAGGTACACATAGATAACTTTCAACATTTCTTTGCATTACTTGAGACAACCTACCTGGGAAGTTTGAATGAAGCTGTTGTTATACTTTTTTAGATATGACCTTTCAAAGCTGGAAAATTGTTGATTTCGTATATGACACCTTTGATATTGCATAATCACTTTTAGAAACTCCAAGCAAATATAATTGGCTCCCCCCGGGGCAGTGCCACTGACTGTAGTGTCTTTAGGCCATTCCCAAAGGGGGGACATTTCTCGTTCAAGCACAGATCTGACCATCAATGATTTATTTATAGAGGCACCAGCCATCCATGTCCAGGTGCTGTTTAAGCCTCTTTTTCCTGTATGCGGATTAATTTAAATATCTTTTTGCCAATTTATTGGTTCCGCTTCTATGTACCCCATATCTATGGTTCTCAACCTGGAAATCGCCTATTATTCGCTGTAATTGCCCCCCCCCCCTCTCATCATCTTCCCCCCCCCCCCCCCTATAGTGTCATCATTTATGTTACCGTCTATTTTTATCGATAACACGATTATGGATTAAGGGCAGTATTAATGATAATTAAGAAAAAAAACCCCTAACAACCATCGATTAAGTAATAAATATGATTATCATAATACAAATATTGATAATTAGAAGAAGAAGAGGAAGAAGAAACACGGTCATAACATCAATATAAAAAACAATAATACTCACAATAGAATTGGTTTGAGTAATGAAATAATATAAATAATAAATGGAGCAATATTATCATAAATCAAAATTTCTAAAAGGATACTACTTGGAATCCGCCGATTGTATGGGATCAGATACCTTGTATGAATATGTTAAATTAGATAATTCAATCCATACAATTTGAGGTTATATGTTCACCATTCTTTTTTTTTTTCAAGAGGAAAGCAGATGTCCATTTTCATTTTGTGTTTGGTCTTTCCATTGAGTTAAATCTATAAGACCAATCTCCTCGTGGTTAAAGGAGTGGAAATATGTCGTTCAAGCACAGTAGAATTGTAAATGGGCTGATTCATGTCACGTTCATAACTGTGCCTGATCTGCAGCAGGGAACTGCTGCTCTTTCTTTCCTAATCCTTACTATTGTCATTTTCCTTTACTTCTTTTGTATGTTTGTCACTCTCTTGTGACCTGCTATTTCCAGGGTGCCTTGATAGTCGAAGCAGACCTTGTGCTGTTGAAGCTAGAGAGGTGAGCAGAGTAAGTCTGATTCCCTGTAAGGACTTCTCTGTTGACACCCACCCCTTGGCGTTCATATGAGTATGACCTTATGCAGTTGCGAGCGCCGTAAAACCCTCTACTATAATAATAAATAAATATAATTGGAATAATATTCATTATTGTATCACCATCTGATAGATTATTTTTTAACCTTCAGTTTGATGGGCCATATGATCTGGTTTGTGTGTGCAGTTGAATGTTTTGACATTTTCCTTTGGTGGGGTAGGGGCATAAAAATAGGTCAGGGAAAAGCCCTGGGCCGGTGGTGGATTTTGGCCTGGGAGGAAAAGAGTTAAATTTCAGTTTACTATTTTCAGGGCATCGTGAACGTAGCCTCTGCGTTTTATCATGACACCACGCTTTTTAGAAAACTCTTTGACTTGTGTTGGTTTAATTTGTGGAGAATTAACACACTACAAAAATGTTTGTTCTCATTCAGTGTCTGTTTCTGGAAGACCTGAAATAGAAGTCAACAGGCCAATTTTAATAAGTCAGCTTCAAGTAATGAAGCCTGGAATAATGTAACCTGGCTTTCAGGACAGTTTTTGCAGTAAAGAAACACAAGCTTAGTCTTGGTGTGCATGCATTTTTAACAAGCTCTTTTATTGTTATTTTTGAATAGAATAAAGATTTAGCTTTTATATTTTGTTATGTGAAAGAGTTCTAAACTTTAAAGTTTTATTTTCTTTGCAGCTAACATCTGGCATGAGCTGGGTGTGTGAGTTCGCATATGGACGCTCAATCTGACGAGCCGGCGGGGGGTAGTAAACGCAGGCGCGCTGCAGGGGTCATCACATCACCACAGCAGTAAGTTTCTCCTTTCAGTTGTTTTTTGACTTGTAGTGGTTTTCGTGTTATCTATTCAGAAAAAGGCTTTTGCCCTTCTGTGCAATGCTATATGTAGTATGCAGGTTTGCTGCAGAGTTCCTGAAATGTTCCATAGAGTGTGTTGTTGGTGTTAGGTCTTAGATGGAGTGCAGTGTAGCTCCAATTTCATTTAGGTCTGTGCAATGGAACAGGTGATGATCCACTATCTCATAAAGTTGCACAAAGGAACGTAGGGGGAAGTTCTGGTTTTATTCTGTTTTCTTTTTTGTCTAAAAAAGCGGGAGGAAATGCTTTCTGAACATTCCTCATTGTGATTGACATCTTTTTAGGTTTTGAAAAGTGTAATGTAAAAATTCAAATACTGGTGTGTGTAGTTTTGTAGTGAACTTGATATTTATATCTTTTGTTGCTTTTATCTCTTTAAGATTGAGAACCAATGATGTAATTTTTGTTTTAAAAAGAAAAGCTACCAAAGCTGTTACTTTTCCATTTCCCTTTCATGCAAGACTCAAGAGTACATGATACGATACATTTATTATAACTATTGCCCATTGTGACTGATGTTTAATATTCTTCTCAAATCTCTTTATAAAGCAAAAGATATAATTAAACCTCTAATGTTTTTGCTGCAGGTCTAGTGTCTTGGGAGATTTTCCACCTGCCACAAAACCCCGTCGGGGGAGGAAGCCGAAACAGAAGAAAGAAAAGCCCACGTCACCAGATCGGCAGCTAGAAACATATCAGGGATCTTCTTCAAAGTCCCCCAAAGTTGAACTTGATCCTTCCAAGGAAGATCCAAAGTCTCCCTTGATTGTCCACCTGGTGGAGACTACCTCGAGCACAGGGAAGGGCAAAGGAAAGTCCAAGGGCAAACAAAGGTCATTGCGGCCTCGGAAATCTCAGAGTTTGCCTGTAGATTTTGACAAATCAGCCGTTTCAAGGCTCAGCCCAACTGAGGCTTTTGAAGATTCCACTGAACACTGTCCAGCTGTGTCGAGGAAGGGGAAGGGGAAAAAGAGAAAGTTATCTGGAGAGCAAGAAACGTCCATTGGTTCTACAAGTTGGTCTGGTGGGGGAGTTGAAGAGCAGGGTGAGTATTGTTCTTTCTACTCTCCTGCGCGTTGCATGTACATGAAAATGTCCAGCCTTTAGTTTTAGTAAGAGTTTTACTACACTTGCAACATTTAGATCCTATAAATGCTCAAGAGGAGGGTGTTCCAAGAGAGTAACATACACAAAGAAAAGGAGGAGGAGAGATGGAGACGATAGATGTTTAATAGGAAAGAAGGAGTAAACCACACCAAAGCTGATCAGCTTTAGCATCACACATTCTCCTCCAAGTCATTTGTTTTTTTTTTCTTCAAAATGCCATATGTGTATCTCTCTTGCCCTTTTTAACTTCCAGTGGAGCACAGGCCATCAACAACATTACTCCTGCGAAGCCTGTCCCGAGCATCCTTCTCCATCTGTTTCCATGATGTCCCCGCCCTTTCAATTTCCGCTTGTACCGCTCGCCTCCATGTCATCTTTGGTCTTCCCTTCTTACGCTTTCTTTGTGGGTTCCACGTAAAAGCCTGCCTGATGATGCTTGTCGGGGGTCTCCTCAGGGTGTGTCCAATCCATTTCCATTTCTTCACCTGAATATCTTCCTTTACTGGCCTTTAGCTTGTTCTCTCCCACAGTTGAGCATTAGTGATTCGATCGTACCAGTTGATCCCCACTATCCTTCGTAGGCATCCATTTACGCTCTGCAGTTTCTTTGCTGCTGGTGCTGTGAGTCTCCATGTCTCTGAACCATACAGTGGAACAGTCTGTTTGTTTTGAAGATCCTCAGCTTGGTGTTCAATCCCAGTTCCTTAGACATCCATTCCTGAGAATGATGAATGCTACTCTTGCCTTTTGGATTCTGACCTTGATGTCTTCGTCTGTTCCCCCTGCCTTGTTGATGACACTTCCCAGGTAGGTGAAGGATTCAACATCCGCCAATGGTGTCCCTTGCAGTGTGATAGGAACGTCGGCTGCATTCATTCGTAAAACTTTCCTTTTATCCGTGTGAATATGGAGTCCAACACCACGGGAGAAGGTCCTGAGGCGATCCGTTTTCTGTTGCATCTGGGCTCGACTGTGGGAAAGAAGTGCCAAGTCATCAGCAAAGTCCAAGTCTTCCAGCTGACTGGAAAGGGTCTACTGTATGCCACCGCGTTGTCCCGATGTTGTCTGTCTCATTATCCAATCCACTGCTAATAAAAAGAGAAAAGGTGATAGCAGGCATCCCTGTCTCACTCCTGTATTCACTTCAAACGAGTCTGTCCGCTGCCCTCCAAGTAAGACACTGCAATTCATTCCCTCATACATCTTCTTGATCAATCTCACGAACTTGTCAGGTATTCCGTAGTGGCGCATGAGCTTCCATATTGAGTCCCTATCTAGGCTGTCAAAAGCTTTCTCGTAGTCAACAAAGTTAACGTACAGGGAAGAGTTCCACTCAGTGGACTGCTCCACTATTATCCTCAAAGTTGCAATCTGATCTGTACATGATCTCTTTTTATGAAGTCCTGCCTGCTCCTCTCTTAGTTTTGCATCCACGGCTTCCTTCAGTCTTTCTAGTATGGTACGACTTAAAATCTTCCCAGGAATGGACAGGAGCATGATTCCTCTGTAGTTTTTACACTCATGCAGGTCTCCTTTCTTGGGTAGTTTCACGAGCAATCCCACTCTCCAATCCTGTGGAAATTCTTCGCTGTCCCATATCTTGCCTATAATTCTATGAAGAGTCCCTGCCTTGAGAACTTCTGGGGGAATTCCATCTGGGCCGGCTGCCTTGCCTGCTTTCTGGTGTCTTATTGCCTCCTTGATCTCCTCTAAACTAGGCTTTTCTTCACTCACCCCCAGATCAATCTCGGCTGGTGGAATGTCAAACTGTTTTTCTGGCCTTGGTCTGTTCAGTAGCTCTTTGAAATGCTCTTTCCAGCGTTCTTTCTGTTCGTCTGGATTTGTGAGAAGCTTTCCCTCTTTATCCTTCACTGGCACATCTGCGTTCTTGTATCTGCCTGCAAGTTTCTTTGTGGTTTCATACAGTCCTCTCATGTTTCCTGCCCCTGCTGCTTCCTCTGCCTCGCGCGCTAGGTCATCTACATAGTTTCTTTTGTCTTTCCGTAGGCTGACTTTTACCTCCTTCATTGCTTTGGTCTATTCTTTTTGGGCCTTTGCTTTGGCTGCTCTTGTCTTGCTCCTGTTTACCTGATCCTTTTTCTTTTTCCTGTCTTCTATCTTTCTCAGAGTGGTGGCCGATATCCAAGGCTTGTGCTCACGTTTCCGTTTCCCCAGTACCTCTTGACACACAGTGGTCCAGCCTTCTTTTATTGCCTCCCATGTTTCTTCCACGCTGCTATCCTCGCCTAGTGTTTCCAACACTTGGAACCTGTTCTTAACTGCTACATTAAACTCCTTTCTTGACGATGGCTCTCTCAGAAATTCCACGTTGTACCGGTACCTATGATTATTGACAATTCCCTGTCTTCGCTTTAGTTTTAGTCGGATGGTTGAAATGAGCAAATGATGGTCCGAAGCTACGTCTGCACCCCTGTAAACTCTAACATCCCTCATTGATCTCCTGAATTTCTTGTTGACACATATGTGGTCAATCTGGTTTTCAGTTTGTTGGTCTGGCGACACCCATGTTGATTTGTGTATCTGTTTATGTGGGAAAACAGTCCCTCCTATCATGAGCCCATTCGTTGCACATATTTCTGCAAAGAGTTCTCCATTCTCGTTTCTGACTCCAAGTCCTTGTTTCCCCATGATTTCCTCAAAGCCTACATTGTCACTGCCTACCTTAGCGTTGAAGTCTCCCATTAAAATCAAGATGTCCTTCCTTCTAACCTGGTCAATAGTATTTTGTGGCATTTTGTAGAAAGTCTCTTTCACATGCTGGTCCTTATCAATGGTGGGGGCATATCCGTGGATAACATGAAGGTTGATGTCTTTCTTCTGTGAACGGAATTCAGCTGATATTAGTCACGGGCCCTCTGCTTTCCATCCTATCAAAGCCCGCTTGGCGTGTGTTGATAACAGAATACCTACTCCTTCTGTATGCAGCGGGTTTTCCTCCAGATGTCCAGAGTAGAGAACTGTTTCCCCTGAAGCAAGTTGGCACTCCCCTGCATTCGTCCATCTCGTCTCACAGAGACCCAATATGTCCAGTTGGTAGCCCTCCATCTCTCTTGCAACCTGCAGTGCCTTCCCTGCCTCGTACATTGTACGAACATTCCAGGTGCCAAGTCTGGTGGTTTTTCTGGTCGACAGGAGGTTTCTCGGCTTGGTGACTTCCTTCCGGCTTTCACCACGCTGCGTCATTCTACACTCCATATTCTCTCCTCTCCATATGTGTATAGTCGGGCGTTAAAACTTCAGCATGCACAATACATGCTGTTTCTATTAGTCACATTGTTGTCTTGTCCTTCTGTCATGGAAATTGGTTCACATGTGTTTGTTATATGAAATGTCATTTCTGAAATGACAGTTTGTTGTGTAATGGGGAGCCTCCAATGTGGCTTTAACTCACTCACTACTGCAGATTTTTTGGCAGATTGGCCCTGCCACCGCAGTTTCGGGTGTTTTTTGAAAAAATCAGTGTGACAAATGTATTCAAGATACACACTTGCTGTTTGCTGTGTTGAAAGTACACAAAATGAAATGTGTTTAAAAACAAACAGAATGTGTTTATCTTTTGTACTTTTTTTTTTTTTTAAACAAATTTTAAAATTTGACACATTTTTTAATGGTAAAATATGTTTTCCGGAGAAGCTAGTTGAATCAGAAACTTATTTCCCATGAGCATAGATGCCCCAGAACAGCACAAAAAGATACCAGAATTTTCTAACTGTTCAAAGATATTTACTCTTGTTTTTAGACAGTTGAGGGTAGGTCAGCTGATAAATTCATAAAATTTCAACCTGTGGGCCGAGCGAAACGAAACTTATATCAAATTAAAGAGAAATGACTTTAGAGTACTCCCGTGGGGATCCCTTAGGTGGAAAAAAAATTTTGAAGTTGGGATCGCCACTGTGGCGAGAATAGTCGTGAAACGTGAATTGAAATAGATTGCCACAGTGGCAAGAATAGTTGGGAGTGAGTTAAATAATTGCTTTATGTCAAATGATTTATAGGTTTAACTCTCCTTTGTGTTGAAAGGTTATTTGAGAAGTGTGTCTAACTTTGTGGGTAGCTGTATGAGAAAGAATTCTTAGCATCTTTGGTTTTTGTTGTCTTGTGTGGTATTTAGAAAAAAGTCATTGATCTGGGTGGTTAATAGATGTTCTGGTGTGGTATGCTCTTTCTGTCCTACCAAACATCTACTTCCTTTAAATCTCTCCTTCACTTTTTCAAAATAACTTTCTTGTAACACCTCTAGATCTATTCTCTGGCACTTGTTTGACCTATTTGTGTTGCAAGTGCCCTGAAACTCATACGAAAACAAAGTCATTGATTAATTTCTTTTTTGTTGGATAGGGGTGATCCATTTGGTATTCCATACCTTTTGAGAATGTTTGTTCAGGGACATTGTTTGTATGCTTTGCCTCAGGTCTGCCCCTTCTCACAGATATTGATTGCGATTGTCATTGGTAGTGATATGAGACACAAGTGTCCTCATTGTCTCCGTAGTGCTTGATGGGGTCCTCACAAAATATGAATTCTTGAAAACTTCCATGCAAACATATATGTAATAAAAATAGGGTAAACGTTGAAGGTGAGGGACTGGCAACTGGTTGTGTAGCTGTTACTGTGTTAGAAAAAGGCCCTTTGCTGTTTCTAGCAAGAGACCCAAGTACGATTCCCGAGTGGGGAGAAAATTTTCATCCAGCATCTTTGGTTTTTCTTTTTCTGCTGGGATATTGTATCCCTCTCAGCTCAGGTTGGCCCTGGCAGTTGGGGTCACAAACTCGGTTTCTAAATGATCTAAATTGTTTTAATGGGGGCATAAAAACACCCAACATTTATTGAATGAAAGCGAGGGCCTTGTCAGTGTAAGCATGTCATGTTTCCTGTTGTCTACAGTTGCAGCCTTAATCAGTGCTTGTCAACATTTTTATAGCCAGTGTCCACTTTTGCTACCTATAAAAGACTAAAATTTTCGTACTGTCCACCCGTGTGTATTTTCAAACCAGGTGTTCAGGTATTAGATAATACCTGTCTCTACCCAGGGATCCCCACTGGGCACCAAATTTACCAAAACCACTGGTGGGAGATATCACCCAGGTTGGCAAGCACCGGCCTATATGTTAAATATTGTATTTGACAGGGAAGACAGAATGTCTATTGTATTGAATGTGTCACTTCAGCTTGAAGATAATATGATATTGAATAAGAGGGGAGTCATTACTTGTTGTTTCTGTCTGTCTCATTTGTAGTTTATATCCCTTGCACTTACTAACTGTTAAAGCGTCAATGTGTTTGTCCTCTGATTCTGTCAAGACAAATTGGCACTGCAATTAGACTTTCATATGTCCTTTGTTTTTCCAGGAAAAGGAGGTGGAAAAAGGAAAAGGAAGAGTTCAGAGGCCTCTAAGAAATTGAAAAAAGACAAGCAGGCGAAAGCTTCATCTGCTCTTGACTTTGACACACTTGACTTGTACAGTGATCTTGAAGACTTTGTGGAAGAATTTGAGGATCTTTTGTCCACGAAACCACCCACGCCTAAGAAACGTTGTCTCCGCTCATCATCTAACGAGGAGAAAGAGACCAGTCCAGTCAACAGTGCTGGCCCTTCTTCTAATAAAGTCTCTCCGACTTCAACGAAAAAGTCATCAGAGGGTGGTTCTGGCAAAAAGACAACAAGCAAATCAGGGAAATCCAGTAGCAAGAAAAAGACGAAGGGAGAAAAATCATCTTTGAAAGGAAGCACAACTTCCAGAAAAACGGGATCTTGTGCTAGCAGCAGGTAAGAGGCATTTGATGCATGATATTTTTTTTCTGTTGCTCTGGTTTGTAGGCTTATACAGTCGAATATGCACAAGGGACTGCCTATTCAGGGCAATCACCTTTTCAAACGACCTTTTTCCATTTCTCGCTCTTTCATCTTCTTTTCTATATACAGTAGTCTCCACCTAAGATCCCACTGCTTATGATCTCGGTTCGCTTAAGATCCCGCTGCTTTAATAAAACAATTTTTACTATACAAAAGTCACCCTTGAGATCTCGCTCTGATTCACTCTGAAGGTCTACATTCGGCTAAGATCCCGCATTTCAGATCATAATTTACGATACAAAAACCCTGGCAGACACAGCCAATCAACCGAGAGGGAAAAGTTGAGATCAATGAACTGCCTGTCGTGTCAGAGATCAGCCACTCTCATGAATGTGATCATATAAGCATTGTAAAACTCAGTAAAACAGTACAACAATGTTTGCCCCAGACGTGTGAACTGACCGACGCGTTTGTTTTCCCCAAACATCGCACTTGCATCTGAGCTCTCAATCAAATTTACCTCATCTCGCTCTAGGCGAGATCATAACGAATTGTGAACTCTTCCCTGACCACTGCAGCAGTTTTCTCTGTGAGACAGACTGAATTTTAATTGGTGTGGTCACAACGTAATGGTGCGTAACGGCAAAGGCGGGGGAACTCGGTCAGAGATCGAAAGATATGTATTTTTGACAGGTAAAGGAGAGAGGCAACAGGATAAGCATAGATCTTGAGACTTACGATTGAATAATAAGTCTAAATGGCACGCCACATGCCACTTATGCACTATGATAGGTCATCAAGGTTAACCAGTCTTTGCTCGCCATTATAAACCTACCCAGGGGTCAAGTCAGTTTATTTTGGAGTGGAGGGAGAACATTTTACCGATTGTGAGCCTTAACAAGGGACCGTAGATTCTTCCCTGGGTTCGTCTGCTAAGATCCTGGTTCGCCTAAGATCACGCATTTCCTTGCTCCCGAGCACCGGGATCTTAGGCGGAGACTACTGTATTATAATGACTCTTTCCAAGACATCCACCTGTCTGGGAACAACGACTTTTCTCCTTGACAGTGGGTAGCTGTCTTGGTCAATTTCGGCAGTATTTTCAAACCTGTTCTCTCAGAAATAGACCTTTCATTGTCAAGGAGAAAAGCAGTTACCCTAGACAGTTGGCTGTCTTGGACTTTAACGATAA